AGGGATGATCTACTTATCCCTTAAGTCCTTTTTACATTTCTTAAAAATTCTTGTTTCCTCCATTTTCAGAGCTCGTGATATGTGGCATAGGCTATCACCATGCAGGCCTTGATCCTGCTGACCGTAGAAATATCGAGACAATGTTCATTAAAGGTGACCTGCCTGTAATATGTAAGTAAACCGGCAGAGTCTTACTACATGTTGCCGAATTTCCCTTTTATTTCAGGGCCACAGCCAGGAAAAAATTATGTCTGAGGCAATGTCCATGGTTAAATTCTCTTCCCAGGTATTTAGCAGTGTTGCACGTTCCTCCTACAGCAAGAAAATCAACAAAAACGAAAAAACAAAAATATTGAGGCAAGTACCTCGGTTTGCCTCAGACTGGCTACGGCCCTGCCTTTCAACGTACATGCGCACCATACGAACCCTACAATTGGCGATCGAAGTCTCAATTAAATACATTTCGCTTTTTCCTATGATTTCAGTTGCTACCAGTACTCTGGCTGTAGGGGTAAGTTTTTGAGATCTTTTGTTTACTGAACCTGTAAATTACAGGTATTTATAAAGAGGCGATTCTGATTTAAGCTGAACTGTGTGCAAATGTAAATGAAAACTAGATATTATGTGTTTTATTGTTATTTCTGCTCTAATCTAGGAAATATTGGGCGCCTTTATAAACACGCAAGACTTGTGTTAATTCGGATTGCTTCGGAATAGTTTTAGGGACTTCGAAACAGTATATCAGGTCTAACCCTGTCAGAACTCATTTACACGCCGGTAGAAGTGTAAAAGACGTAAGAGTACTCAGAACATTTCTTATACTTAGTCCAATCTGAAAACCGAAAGTTGTTCATACAGCTGAGCAACATAGCAAGAAAAAAAACAAATTTCTCACACTAAGTAAAGGTAATATTTGTCGCTAGTTTGCCGTCCGTCCTAACGAGAGATCTCTTGTTAGGTAAATCTTCCGGCTCATCTTGTTATCATCAAGTCAACTGCA